AATTTGCTCCTTTTAAAAGTATTTCAAACAATAATAACCAAATAATAAAAAGAAATTAATATTCTGAATGTTCAATAAATAAAGTGTATAAAAAAGTCACAGGTGAACGTAATTTATTGTAATTTAGTTTACTTGTATTTTGTCGTATATAGTGAATTTTATTTTATTTTTAAAACTAAGAACAGAACAAAAGAACCACTGTTCAGAACCCCCTCAGTGCCCTGCTGTACCCAGCTGACACCCATAGGTGGCAGGGCAGCTCCGCACCTCCGGGACGAGGGGGACGGACGAGCCAGCGGACTGCTCTCTGATTGGTCGGTTCAGGCCTCTTGTGCCCGCCTCCTCCCCCTCCCTCTTTCCCCTCTCTCGCTCTCTTCTTTTTTTCCTGGCATGACCTTTTTCCCTTGGCAACCACTTCCTCTGAGCATCATCGGCCATCTTTAATGTGAAGTCATTCATGAAAAAGTTGTCCAGACCGCTGAAAAACGTCTGCTTGAGCGCACCGAGCAGCTGCGGACTGACGGTGGGGTGCGCGCGGCCAGCTTGCGGGCAAGAGACGCCGAGAGCAGCACCGCAGCAGTCAGACTGTCCGCGGGGATAAAGTAAACACCGAGAGAGACGCACAGCGTACGTTGTTCATTATCTCTGACGGGGTGTTCAGGCGCCATTTCCTTCATGTCTGTCGGCTGCTGTGTGTCAAATACCTGAAGTGTCCTCGTGAACATGTCGCGTGTCGACGTGAGGTGATGTCCTCAGAGCAGAACAGCAGGTGGAGCGCTGAGATAAAAGAGATAATTGTGTGAAAGGCGCCTCTCCTCACTGCCATGTTGGAGCAGAGCTGCTCCTGGAGCTAAATGTTTGATCTTAATCTCAAATCTTTGCGCTAATCGTTAGTGTGAGTCACTTTCACACTGTTTTCATGTTGTTTTTTAGTTCCCTGCATTCTCTGAAGTCTGACTTCTTCTGAAAACTTTGTGCTATTTTAGCCTTTTTATGCATCAAAACATTCAGCTCATTGTGGAGATGGGATGGATGCTGGGACTTTTTTTTCGCAACTTTTTATTTGTTTATTTTTTACTTTTCAAAATATTTACCTTTTATTTACAAATGTTTTTCTATTAAACTTCATTCTTAGTCATAGCTTTTAGCATTTTCATAATTTTAGCAAAGATTTTTCAATTTTTGACTTTTAGTTAGGATTTAGCTTTTTCTTTAGCTAGCCTTCAGCTGCTTTTAACTTTTAGTTATTTGTAGCTTTGAACTAATCTTTTGCTTCTTTTAGTTTCTAGTTAGCATTTAGCATCACACTAGCCTTTAGCTAGTGTTTTTCTAGTCTTTACTGTTTTGCTCATTTTGGCTTTTAGCTAAGATTTTGCTGCTTTTAGTTAGCTTCAGTTACCTTTGACTTTTAGCTCAGCAACTTTTAGTTTTTAGCTTTTCTTTTTCCATCTTTAAGGTGGCTTTTTGCTATGTTTAGCTTATAACTAATCCTTTGCTAATTTTAGTTCTTAGCTACTCTTTAGCTTTTTGCTACTATTTAGTAATTTTTAGCTAGATTTTTTTCTGTTTTGACTTACTTTTTCTCATTTGCAACAAAGCTAGGTTTTTGCTTTAGTTTCTAGATAGCATTTAGCTTATTTTAACCTTTTGCTAGCATTTTGCTAGTATTCATTTTAGCCAGTGTTTTGCGCTTTTGACATTTTGCTTGGATTTTGCTTCTTTTAGCTAGCCTTCAGCTGTTTTAAACTTTTAGTTGTTTTTAGCTTTGAACTAATCTTTTGCCTCTTTTTGTTTCTAGCTAGCATTTAGCATCACACTGGCTTTTAGCTAGCATTTTTCTTTATCTACTATTTTGCTCATTTTGGCTTTTAGCTACGATTTTGCTTTTAGTTAGCCTTCAGCTACCTTTGACTTTTAGCTATTTGCAACTTTTCTTTTAGCTTTTCTTTTTCCAACTTTAAGGTGGCGTTTTGCTTTGTTTAGCTTTTAACTAATCCTTTGCTAGTTTTATTTCTTAGCTACTCTTTAGCTTCTTGCTACTATTTAGAAATTTTTAGCTAGCCTTTTTTCTGTTTTGACCTACTTTTTCTCATTTGCAACAAAGCTAAGTTTTTGCTTTAGTTTTTAGATAGCGTTTAGCTTATTTTAACCTTTTGCTAGCATTTTGCTAGTTTTCAATTTTAGTCAATGTTTTGCCTTTTTGGCATTTTGCTAGGATTTTGCTTTTCTTTAGCTTGCTTTCATCTGCTTTTAACTTAGTTATTTTTAGCTTTGAAATAATCTTTTGCATTTTTTTAACATCTAGCTAGCATTTAGCAACACACTAGCTTTTAGCTAGTGTTTTTCTAGTCTTTATCTACTGTTTTGCCTTTTCGGCATATTGCTAGGATTTTTGTTCTTTTATTTAGCCTTCAGCTGCTTTTAACTTAGCAAAGTATTTGCAGCTTTTAGGTTTTAGTTACTTTTTTCCAATTTTCAGCTGATGTTTTACTGCTTGTACCTTTTATAACTAATCTTTTGCTACTTTTAGTTCCTAGCCAGTCTTTTGCTAATTTAACTTTTAGCTCACTATTTGCAGCATTTAGCTACACCTTTTCAACTTTTAGCTGGCTTTTTGCCTTTGCTGCTTTTTGTTCTTGGCTAGTCTTTACTACTCTTAGCTTGTTGCTACGATTTTAGCTTTTAGATAGTGATCTGCTTCTTTTACCTTTTGCTACTTTAGTTCAAGCTTCTTGTGCAAATTTTAGACAACATTCAGCATTCACTGCATTTTTGCAGAAAGTGCATTTTTTTGCAGTCTTCTAAAGGTTGATTTAACTTTTGTTTTTTTACTCAATCATTGTGACAGAATGAGAAAGAAGCAGACAGCCAAACCGCGGAAGGCTGAGGAGACTGCAGAGGTCCAAGAGTTTGCAGTGGAGAAGATAATTCGGCGCAGAGTGTTAAACGGCAGAGCAGAGTACTTCCTGAAGTGGAAAGGCTTCACAGAGTGAGTGAGCTTTGTTGCCCAATCAGCCGCTCTTATTGTGAAAGAATGAAGGTTTCCTGCTAACACGGCTTACCTGCTCCGTCTGGTTACAGCGCAGAGAACACGTGGGAGCCAGAGGACAACCTGGACTGTCCTGAGCTTATAGAGGAGTTCCTGAGAGACGCACCTCTCTCGGAGGAGAATGAGGAAGTGCTGAACGAGCCACCGTTTGTTCCCAAAGAAGAAATGACCGAGCAGGAGACAGAAAATGTGAGTGTGTGAGAAACGGACAGGTGGAAGTGTCTGAATGTGTTGTTTCCATGTTATTTAGAGCGCTGGTATGTCTAAATGTGCTTAAAAGAAAGAAACTGAGAACCATAAGGAACTTAAGTTCTTTTTTTTGTGTGTATAATGAGTCAGAACCAGAACTTAAGTCTGGTTTATCTGGTTCTTTGTCACTTTGTTCTTGCTGCGTTTTTAACAGTTAAACATGAAACTAAATGGGGCGTGAAGGTGATTGGTTTTGCAACTCTCCTGAAAGTGAAAGTGGTTACAATTTTTTTTCCTCCACAACAGGCACACACATAAAAAAAATAGTACCACTTGCAGGGAAGGACGTCTTTATAAAGGATTTAATAATAAACAACAGTGTTCATATAATGAAGCAGGCTCACTATTTGGCATGATCACGTGCTGTAATTTTATTAAATCTTTTATGATTTGGATTTTAAATATCAAACTTAAGTTTTTATATATATACAAAGTATGTTTTGGCAGATGGAGATATTTAGCTTAAAGCACCATGAAGCTAATTAATGAGTCTTCTTTCAGCTGTTCCCTCTTCTGGGGTTGCCACAGCGAGTCATCCCCCATCTTGTCTGTTTCCTGGCAGCTACATCTTTATCATGCTTCTACCAATATATCCACTGTACTACCAACAGTAATGTACAACAAATAGACTCCCAAGAAAATAAAGCATTAGGAATAATTTATTTATAGGCTCTTATTTGGAATTGGTACCAATAATCCATATATAGACTGATAATAAACCCTTATTTTATTCAACAGACCAGCAGCAGCATGGTCCTCAAGCCAGACGAGGACGAGTCGGACGCCCCGGTGGACCTCAGCACCTACCTCGAGCCTGAATGCATCATCGGCTCCACAGACAGAAAGGGAGAGCTCATGTTCTTAGTCAAATGGTAACTTTGCTGCTTCCTTTTTACGCTGAATAAAACACTATCTCATGACTATTTGTGTGATGTTAAAGTAATGAACATCCACAGTCAAATTAGCATATTATTAGTCTTTAGCAAACAGATGCATTAGATATCAGATGTGTAAAAATGTTTTATATTAATGTTGCAGGAAAAAAAACTAAAGTTAAAGGCCTCATGTTCCAGGGATCCATGATTAGTTGTAACATTAGACTTTATTTGATAAACATTTATTTTAACTGTAAAAGACTGTATAAAAACTGTGGGATGTTTAGTTTTTATATTTTTTTAAACTAAAATTTAAAAAAAATTACACGGACTGAGCCATTTTATTTATATGCAAAGCGTTCTGGGTAAATGATGATGTGGATAGGTCCTCGGTGCGAGGCTGCTAGCGAGCTATATCCACCCTGAAGGTTAATCTTGGACAATATCTGATGATCGACTCTTTTAAATGAAACCAGAGAGCGTTGAYAGAGAGGAGAAGGTAGAAATGACTCAGCCTGGAACTGAAAATATGGATGGAGGACAAAAGAGCTGCTTCATGGAAGAAGTACCTCAGCTTAGCCTGTTGGCTTTAACATTAGCCTCGACGCTATATTGCCTTATGTATATTAGCTCAGCGTTACACATTCTCCTCTCGTCACTGAGGTCCTCCATCCACATGACAGAGAGAGGAACACAAAAATGACTCAGCTGCAACTGAAAATATTGATGGAGGACCTCAGTTTAACTTGTTTGTCGTGCTAGCACCGAGCTAATACATATAAAGCAATATAGCATCAGCGCTAATGCTAAAGCTATACATATGTATATAAATAAATAAAAATAATCTGTTGGCGTTTGGCAAACAGACCAAAACATTAGCTGTACTGCTTGCCAATCTGCTAACTAAAAAAAATAGCTACACAAAACCACTAAACAGGCGAGAAATGAGTGGAAGCTAATGCTAACTGATAGCCGCTCAATCCTTCGGGATAAGACCATATAAACTGAATAACTACATCTCCCAAAGTGCTTTGGTGCATTTTCCCTGAAGTTACCCCTTCGGACCATATTACAAGGATTTGAGTGGACGAAGGCGACTTTCACCCAGTTGAAGGCTAACGCAGGTGGACACACAAAATGCTGAAGATGCTACACACAYGCAAGGTGCTTGAAGCAGGCATACAGCACCACGTGTGAGGGGATAGTTGTTTTCGTTATTGGACTTCGTTAGCAGAACAAAATTTAGCAGAAGCTAGTCAGTTGATTTCTAAAGGTGGCAAAAATGCTAATTCGCTAAATTCAAAGTTATCTTTGCTAGTTTCCACTAGCCCACCACTAGTAGCTCTTAGTGTGTTTTGTGAATTAGGTGTGGTGGTCATCTTGAATTGGATACAGTAAAAATAATAATCAGCTTTAGTTGTTCTTTTTGATCTGTCTGTCATCTATCTTCTTGTACGGTCAGAGTTAGGTTAAAACGTAAGTTAAAAGTCAGAGTTGTTACTCAGATGAAATACAGTCGTATGAATTTTATAGTTATTTGGCTTTTTTGAGTTTGAACAAAGAGGAAGTGAAACAAAAAGCACATTTGTGGAAATAAGCAACTGAGTTGTCAAACCTCAACTTCCTAATGTGAACTAGTTTGCAGGGTTCTGTATGATTCCTTAAAGTTTCCTGTTTAATGTCATGACTGGATTACAACACATTTCATTCATCACAGATTAGCAGCAGTTCTTTATTTTCACATTTAAACGTCTCCCTTCTAAATTTTGAAAAAAAACAAAAAAAAAAACCTATGCTGTCTAGATGAGGTGCACTTCCTCCAGCCCAGCCACGGAGAGCTGCCTGTCTCACATTTCTGTGCTGCAGCCATTTTTTTTCAGCTTAAACATGCCCACAAAGTTCTGGCCAATCACAGGATACTTGACGCATGCAGGGTGTCGTGCACAGAACCGGTTATCAGAGGTGGTCCGAACACAAAAAGATGCWATTTTTTTGTTACGTAATCACAGCGTGGCACTTCTCACAAAATACGTCAAAAAAGATACATATCAATACACAGAATGACAAAAAAAATCAGCACATTAAAAAAACAATTCCAGTAAAAACTGTGACGCCTCAACACTTCAAAGTGATTTTTATTGCCCAACAGAAACACTTTGTAAGTTATTGGTCTGGTTCAAACCTTTTAGTGCTTGGACAGGTCACTAACAAAGGTCACCTTTAACAAAGTCCAGCTCTTTGTTGATGAACGTATYTTTAGACGCGTAAATGTGTGGGTTTTAGAAGATGACATCATTCAACACATTTTTTCACAGCAGAAAAGTGTAAAAAAAAACACGACTTTTTGTCATAACTGAACAGTGGCGAAACTTACAAAGCAATGCATCTTTTATAAATCAAGATTTCTTTTTCTTTTTTTTCTCCTTTGAAAATTATGCTTTTCCTGTTCTATATGATCTTATGTGTTTAAAAACGAAACTAATAGTTACTTTGGGGAGTTTAAAAGTATTTTGTAGGGATGCACCGATATGAAAATTTCAGCCGATATCGATATCCGATATATAATTATTGCTGTTATGGCCAATAATTGATATTTACTGATATTACACAAACACACAAATTATATTACACATATACGCACAAACACACTTGGGTCTTTTTTTTGATACTATAAATAAACAACCAGACCTCTGTCATGGCTCCCTACTTCAGTTATTCCTGGCTGTGCAGCGTCAATATCACTATCCTGATCAAACAGATACCACTCAACCAAACATCTCCCCTCCCAAAACAGAAACACGAAGATAAAACGTGGGAAATCAATATCGGATGTTAATATCGGTCCAGTTTTACATATCGGACCGATCTTCTAAAAAATAACCAATATGGACMGATACCGATATTAATGCCGATATATCGAACATCCCTAATATTTTGATTTAGATTTCAATTCTTTTTACTTATTTTTTTATATCGTTTTGGTCATCCAGCATTTTTATAGATATTCCTTTTAATTATGTAAATAATAAATTTATTTTTCTGTATGTTTTTCTAACTACTTGTTCTTCTACATCTAGCCTTTGCTACTTTAGCTTTTAGTGCAACTTTTAGTTAACCTTTAGCTATTTTCAACTTTAAACTAACCTTGCTGGTTTATGCTAGTGTTCTGCTACATTTACTGTGTAGCTGGCCTTTTGCAACTTTTAGCTATTTAGATAACATTTTGCTCATTTTGGCTCTTAGGCTAGTGTTCTGCTTCTTTTAGCTAGCAGCTCAGTTTCTGGTTCTTCAGCAATGTAAACAGTCACTCAGCATTCTTTATGTATAGTCAGTGATTGTCTGCTGAGTTTCTGCAATCCAAGCTGTCAGATATCAATCAATCAAAATTTATTTACAAATTTCACAGGATTTACAGAAATACTTCAGAATAAGTTGTGTATAATTTCATTTGTGAGATTTTGTAAAAAGGGATTTACATAATTTACAAAATCTCACAAAAATGAAATAAAACACATGCAACTTATTCTGAAGTGTTTCTGTAAATCCTGTGAAATTTGTGAATAAAATKTGATTGATTGATATGTGAGCTGCTGTGCTGTTTAGAAGGCGAGGCCTCCTCACTGGTTCTCTCTCCTCCTCCCGCAGGAAGAACTCTGACGATGTTGCGCTGCTGCCGGCCCGTGAAGCGAGCGCCAGGTGTCCCCAGGTGGTCATTGACTTCTACGAGCAGAAGCTGAGTTGGCACGATGGAGACGAGGAGCAGTAAAAACAACAAAATAAGAAAACAAAGGCGGGTTGTGATGCGAAGGACCACTAAGCAGCTGTGCTACCACCTAAAGCTTAGTTTAACCTGGGTCAGCTGACATGAAAAGCACGCTGCGTGAAGTCACGTCCCGCTGCAGGGAGAGTTTCAGACCCTGACAGGTGCCAGATCCTCGGGGAGGAATTAAAATGCTTTTCGCCCCGTGGCGCTCAGGAAGGTCACGTTGTCTTTGAGGACAGCAATGAAGACAAACCCCCTCAAAACAACCAACTTTAGTTCTGAGCAGCTGACTTGACTAACCTGTTGCAGCTTTTATCTTGTCATTATGTAGCAGACTCGATCACTGTGGAAGTGTGTTTTATGTTTTTTACAACACTGAATAATTTAGTTTTTTAATCCTTTCTTTGAGCAACACATATCCTGCAAGGGATTCTTTTATTTCCTGTTAGCAGGGTGAGCTAACGTCTGCTCAGTTTGTACCTTTTTAGTGCTGAAAGTTGTTGACCCTGTTTGAAATATTGCTGTAGGTGGTCTTTAACCTTTATTGTTTTTGTATGAACCTTGTGATTAATTTAAAAATGGCAAGAATCCATATAATCATTCAACTGCCTGTTTCTCTTTGTTATTTTATTTAATCAAATGTTTGGTGCTTTAACCCAAAGTGAGTCCTGGTAGAATTGTTCAAAACATTTAATTTCTAAAGTCGAATAGAGACCTTTGCACCCATTCAACATGAGACTCTGTGCCCCTGTGATGAGCAGGATAATTATTAAATGTAGCACTTAAGTTATATAAAGCAGGGCCATTGTTGTGTACTTGATAATTGTATTTTTTTTTAAGTTTTTGTTTTTACACGTCTGTTATGCGACACCCAGCTGAATCGCCTTTAAACATCTTGTACCAACTACTGTAAWTGTTGACCACAGATCTGTGAAGTCTGTGAATAAAAAAACTAATATTTCAACTCTTTTTATTCCTCTTTATTTGCTTTGATAGAAGAAAATAATTTCTGAACTTAAAGGTTTATTTTAATATTAAAGGCCTGTCACCTCCTTTCAGGCTATTGTTTCAAATTAACACCCTATGTTAAGAAAAAACAAGAGTTCTAGGCGTTTTGGTCAAATCTTGAAAAACTTGTTTAGTTTCAAGTAAAATTGCAAGAACTGAGAATGGCTAAGCGACTACCACTGGAGCGGTCTAGCCACTTTTTGGTATYGRCTAACATTGCTAAGCTGTGGYGGCCATCTTGAATCAGGTTCACTCCAAAGATTTACCAGTAGTAGACGTGTAACCATAACTAACCAACAAATAAGTAACCAAAAACTTTAAAAGTTTAAATTTGTCTAAAGAAGTGTCAAACTCCTTTTCACTGAGAGCCACWTGAGCATCATGGTGACCCTCAAAGGGCTTAACTTCAATGTTTCATGTTTAACAGAGGTTTGCTAACAATAACTGAGCTGTACATGGTATTTTCTGCATTAAAACATGTCCTCAAACACTGAAAATTACTATTTGTAACTAAATTTAAAACAAATATTACAGAAATACTAGTAAAAGTAAGACTCTTGCTGGTGAGTTATGATGAGAAGCTGCCATCTTGAATTCTGAATTTTCCTACTTTGCGACGGCAGGGAATTTCCACTTTAAATTTACAACCCGTAAGTGGGAGATTCCCACTTCCCAGTTCAACTGGGCCGCAGCAAAAGTAGCTGGCGAATGTGCGGTGGAATGGAGATTTTATACGGCAAATTTTCACCGGCCACTAGAGATGTGACAATCCACATTTCTTTAGTCCTCGTATTTTTGATTTCCTCCCTGAACGCAGAGACCATCGCTCCTTTGCTTTTTCACAGAAAACAGGCAGAGGGGGTGAAGTACAACAGCTCAGGGGGAAATGAGATGTGGGTTCTGCTTGACRAAACACAAGGTACCACTCACGTGACAGAACTAGATTTATCCATCTACCTATACCTACCATCTACCCAAACATCCAAATGAGGTCTCTTGTTCAAAATTGACAGAGGTCTATAAAGTACTTTAAAAAATAAAACTAAGTAAAAGTAAAATTACATGAACAGAAAATGACTTTGGTAAAAATAAATTTCACTGATGAGAAAACTACTCAAGTAAAAGTTATAAAACCTCACAAAAATAAGGAAAGTAAAAGTAATAGTTTTTTTTCCCTCATCTTCCCTTGTGTGGTTTTTAGTTTTTCTGTTGTTAAAGGTAGCGCAACTGCGTTTGCTGCATGACCAGTTTCACCTGTTCCCCCATGTTTGCCTTGTATGTCTTCTTGAATGGGTGTTTCTTAACTGCCCCCTCCCCACTTCCCTGAATGTACAGCACCTTGTGAATTTATTTCTGTGAAAGGCGCTATATTTTTACACACTTTCTAAGAAATAAACTGTTGAATTTACTGAACCAAACTGGTTCCACTAAACCAGGTTGAGTAAATTGAGCAATATATGTATATTATTTGCTCAATTTACTCAACTAGGCTTAGTGGAGCCAGCTGACATGACTTTTTGAGTAAATTCAACTCTTCATTTTTTTGGAGCAAACATCTTTCATGATGAGTTCAAACATATTTAATTTCGTAACAAGTAAAGTAGGTGTTACATTTTAAACTGATGAAGTAAAAGTATCATTTTTAGCTTTTAAAATGTAACAAAATAAAAGCAAAAGTAGCCATTTGAAATAATAATCCTCAAAAATACTACTTAAGTGTTGTAACAAAGTAAATGTCCTTAGTTACTAGAAAACCTCTGAAAATTGAACGACTCTATGAAACAAACAGATCCCTTCAAAGAGCAATTTGTCCAATTTCAGCCGGCTACTTTTGAACCAGCTAGTGATAGGACGTCATCTTTTTGCAGTTAAAATAATCAACATGCTGGCTTTAAGCTCATTTTAAGACATTACTACATCTTTGAAGTTCTCACGGGCAATATAAAATGCAGTGGCGGTATCTTAGTATTTGCAAACATCTAATGATTTTCTAAAAGTTGTACTAGCATCTGTGCAGTGATTCATGACAAGACGTTTTATTAACTTAACAAACAAAGCTTATCTCCTGCCTGTCACATTCAGCTGCAGGTGATAAATGTTTCAGTCTCAGATGTTTGGATTGATCCCGGACAGAACCAGGTCAACAAAGCGGTGTTTCGTAGAATTTGTTTGACTTTTACTGACGTGGGAAGGGCCTGGTCTTGTGACTTTGTTTGGAAACCTTTGGTCTTTGACAGTAAAAAGTGAAAAATCTGCACAAAAGCTGAACACATAGCTTCCTGTCTAGTTGGAGGTTTTCTTAGTTTCAGTCTTTGGACATTTTGGACGACGAAGGAAGAAACTGGCAGAAGAATGATTCAGGTATTTTAAGAAAGACCTTTTAAAGCTGTCTGATTTAGTCCTGAAAAACATGTTTACTCCTTTTTTTTTCTTTGTGCTTGTTGGATTTTCCGATCCTGGTTTTTTTTAAGCGTGCAGTTGTCATTGCACTTCCTCAGTGCACCAATAAAAGCCTTCCTGTTTTTGTTGCAACACAGTGCCCTCAGTTCAGCGTCTCTCCTGCCTTCTCCATGCAGCAGGTGGTCAGTGTTTGGGTGCGAGACCCACGGATACAGAAGAATGACTTCTGGCATGCCTACATAGATTATGAGATCTGCTTACATGTGAGTATAATGATCAGTGTTGTATAAAGTAGCACAAAGTGATACTTGAGTAAAAGTACAAGTATCTTACCAAAAAATTACTTTAGTAAAAGTTAAAGTCTCCTTTAGGAATATTACTCAGTGTTGTATAAAGTACCACAAAGTGATACTTGAGTAAAAGTACAAGTATCTTACCAAAAAATTACTTTAGTAAAAGTTAAAGTCTCCTTTAGGAATATTACTTGAGTGAAAGTCTTAAAGTATCTGATATTTTTTGTACTTAAGTATTAAAAGTAAATGTATTGATTTAAAATGAGCAGTTAGATTTTACGTAATTAAAATAATAATTTGTTAAATTTAGGATGCACTAGTCCAGCTGTTTCAGTTTATATACATATATCAAGGC